GCTCCTCACCACTCCCTACACACACCCCTGAAATGTTAACACGCAAGGCCAGGTGAAACGTTGGAGACAACTGAGCCCAAATTTTATTTTTATAAATGGGGAAACTGAAGCTCCTGAGTGACAGGGCCTTGACTAGATACACACATGGAGTTAGTAGCGGAGGTAGAAATGGTGCCTGGAGTCCTCTAGGCTCTCCGCCCAGTGCCCTCTCCGTGACACCAAGCTGCTGTCACATGGCCACACCTCTGACCCTGTTTCCAAGCTTTTTTTAGGATCCCAAGTCTCGCTTGTTCTACCAATCCATCAATCAACAACACTGCTTGGAGACTCCACTGTGTGCAAGGCATTGTCCAGCATTGGCTCCATCCAGAGGCCACATGTCTGTTCCTAGACGCGGCCAGTTCTCTCCTCGCTTATGCTGTTTTATTTATTTATTTATTTATTTATTTATTGACTGTCTGACTGAAGACTCAATGTTTTCTAATAGGCAACTCTGGCTTGAAGCCAGGGCTGCTGTAGACCCCATGTTCCAAGGAGCATTTTGACCTGATGTAACCATGGGGAGCTAAAGGGACTGTGTCCTGGACCACTACAGGATCCCCGTGACAGGAAGGGAAAGGTTTACACTTACCCCATTACTCGGCAATGCAGTCCAGCCCAGCTCAGCCTGGGAGGCTTTAGAATCCAAGAGGATGACTGGGGGGGAGGGGGGGAGAGAACAGAGATGTCAGGAAGCCAGGTCAGGAGGGTGGACCTTAGGTGAGCTCACTGTAAATTTGCTAACTGAAAGGATGTTGAACGTGACAAAGGACACAGACAAGTTTTTCCCACTCCATACATCCCCAGGAGGGCATGTAAGTAGCTCAAATCCAGAGGGGGTAGCCATATGATTAGGGAAGGAGCCTATATTAGTTTCTTGTGGCTGCTGTAACAAGTTACCACAGTTTGGTGGCTTAAAACAGCAGAAATTTATTCTCTTACACTTCTGGAAGTCAGAAGTTGGAAATCAGTTTCATGGGTCTAAAGTCAGGGTGTCAGCAGGATGGGTTCCTTCTAGAAGTTCAGAGGGGAGAATGCATTTCCATGACTTCTTCAGCTTCTAGTGGCCACCTGGATTCCTTGGCTTGTGGCCCCTCCTCCATTTTCAAAGTGTCTCACTTTGCATCCTGCATCCCACTTATAAGGACCATTGCAATTACATTGGGCCCATCCAAATAATCCAGGATAATCTATTCATCTCAAGAGCCTTAATCACATCTGAAAAAGTCTTTTGCCATTTAGGATAGCATTCAAAGGTGTAGAGAATAGGATGTGGATGTGTTGGGAGGAGTCATTATTCAGCCTGTCACAGAGTCTATAGCAAATACTCTAAGATTGGCTATAAAACTGGGGGGGG